ACGCTCAATTGTTGTCACGGTTGTGTCAGGAGGAAGGTGAAGGAGACAGCTGGTGCAAACCAAACTTTCAGTTTAATAATAAAAAGGCAGAAGGACAATCGGAAACACAACGTAGAATAACTGTGACCGGACAACCAAAGACTGAACAGACTGGGGCTTAAATACAAGACAAACGAGGGGTAATAAACTAGACACAGGTGATGCAGGTAAACGAATAATTAAACAATGAGCAAAGGAACTAATGAAGACAGGAACAAGACCAAATAAGGAAAAACAGGAACCAAACAGGAAACACAATGAAAACTAAGACAAAACACATTCCAAAAGCGCCTCCTACTGGAAGAGAATGAATGTTCATTTTCAATAATCCAGTCTGTAGTTTTTGTTCAGACCAATGTGAAAATCCACCCACATAACCCCATTTTAAATTAATATAATAATTTATACTTCTGAGCCCTGGTTTAAACGCTCAATTGTTGTCACGGTTGTGTCAGGAGGAAGGTGAAGGAGACAGCTGGTGCAAACCAAACTTTCAGTTTAATAATAAAAAGGCAGAAGGACAATCGGAAACACAACGTAGAATAACTGTGACCGGACAACCAAAGACTGAACAGACTGGGGCTTAAATACAAGACAAACGAGGGGTAATAAACTAGACACAGGTGATGCAGGTAAACGAATAATTAAACAATGAGCAAAGGAACTAATGAAGACAGGAACAAGACCAAATAAGGAAAAACAGGAACCAAACAGGAAACACAATGAAAACTAAGACAAAACAAACTGAACCTGTGATAATTATGAGGTTTATCATTTTATAATTTATTTTGTTTTTGTGAAAACCTGTATCTCAACTGTAAATCAGTTGCTATTTCGTGGTCTACAACATAAAAGAAAGCCATTATAACATGTACATGAAAAATGTAGAAACGCTGGACACGACTATGGGGCACCATTGTGCAGCAGCAAGCATCACAACAAAAAAAGAACCTCAAGGTTTATCTAGGAAAATGTGTGCAAATGTATAGGGCCCCATTGCTATATTTTGCCTGGGGCCCCCAATTCACTAAATCCACACCCCAATTGAGCAATTCTTCAAAGAAGAATTTTTTTTTAAATTATTATTATTACAATGACCATTCATTATGATGCTGAGCTTGTTGACGCAGTAGCTGTTCACACAAAATGCATTTTTGCATTCCACTGCACTTTTCAATTGTTTTATGTAAACATACTAGATGGATGCCTTTGACCATTGTGCTTGTGTCTTTTGCATGACAGTTGCATTTTTAGAATGCCTTGTCAAGTTAAAAGCACATTCTGAGGCCCTGTTTTTTTATTTTACTGCCCTGCGTCTCACATTTTAAAATGAAAAAATGCATTCCATGTGAACAGCCCCTCAAATACTTGTGTTAAATGTGCAATATATTTCACTCACAAACATGCTGTTGTTCCGAATATCAGAATAGGCAAGAGGCCACAGGTAATCTGACATTTAGATAAATATTGATTAGTTTATATCGAGTTACTTACATTTAAAAAAAATATTGCCAGTTACTTTGTCTATTTTTGCTTAACCAACGAAAAAGTTCTCAAAAAAAAAATCAATGCACAATCAGCCTCCACGTTTCTAAACAAGTGCTGTTTTTTTTCCTGAATGATTGAAAACCGGGAAAAATCTCCATCACTAATGTACCCTGGAATGGCAAACTGTCAAATGAAGTGATAGAATAAAAAAAGTACTTTTTTGTATTAATGATTAGGTCAGCTATGAATCTCTATTCATGTTCTGAAATGAATACACTAACTCTGTATGCTATGAAAAGCCCTCCGCCTCCCCAGCACCACCTGCCTAGATCTACTACAATGTCTCCCTCTTTCTTATTACATAAATTGTATATACTAAACATTTAGCAGAAGCAATTTGTACTTGCTCTGCAGCAGCAGAAACCATGGCTCCGGCTGCAGCAGCGTAGCAGATCTAGTCCACCAAACCTATACACTCCATAAATAAAATGTTTTAGAAACTATCCCGAGAGTTGTTATGGCTGAAATATTAATATTCCCTAATTGCTAAATTTAACAGGACTTGAAACATGTTTCATGCATATGGGACTAGCATAATGTAGTCAGGTCATAGTGGTTTATTTCTTGATGGCCCCTCAAATACTTGTGTTAAATGTGCAATATATTTCACTCACAAACGTGCTGTTGTTCCGAATATCAGAATAGGCAAGAGGCCACAGGTAATCTGACATTTAGATAAATATTGATTAGTTTATATCGAGTTACTTACATTTAAAAAAAATATTGCCAGTTACTTTGTCTATTTTTGCTTAACCAACGAAAAAGTTCTCAAAAAAAAAAATCAATGCACAATCAGCCTCCACGTTTCTAAACAAGTGCTGTTTTTTTTCCTGAATGATTGAAAACCGGGAAAAATCTCCATCACTAATGTACCCTGGAATGGCAAACTGTCAAATGAAGTGATAGAATAAAAAAAGTACTTTTTGTATTAATGATTAGGTCAGCTATGAATCTCTATTCATGTTCTGAAATGAATACACTAACTCCGTATGCTATGAAAAGCCCTCCGCCTCCCCAGCACCACCTGCCTAGATCTACTACAATGTCTCCCTCTTTATTATTACATAAATTTTATATACTAAACATTTAGCAGAAGCAATTTGTACTTGCTCTGCAGCAGCAGAAACCATGGCTCCGGCTGCAGCAGCGTAGCAGATCTAGTCCACCAAACCTATACACTCCATAAATAAAATGTTTTAGAAACTATCCCGAGAGTTGTTATGGCTGAAATATTAATATTCCCTAATTGCTAAATTTAACAGGACTTGAAACATGTTTCATGCATATGGGACTAGCATAATGTAGTCAGGTCATAGTGGTTTATTTCTTGATTCTAAAATGGACAGTCTAGTCCTGCTCTGCAGTTACAAGGACATGACTCAGAGCAGCCAGTCTTGTTTCTATCACTTGAGTTACTTTCTGGATCTGTGCCATTTACATTTAGACTGTCTAATTACATTATTTGTACCTTGACTGCTTTTAGTAAGAGGTTGCATGTAATTACACAACAATAAACCAAGTCTAGCTGATACAATTTGTTTGTATGACATGTTTGTAATTATATACGCCTACTTTTAAGGATTTTCTTATATAAACACACTGTAGTCTGAACTTTTGATTTGCAATCATGTTAATGGATGTTAAAGTTGGGTTTCATCTGATTCAGCTTGTTCTCTTGTTTAATTTGACACATAGGATAAATGTAGGGTTTTAGAGGGTTTGGGAGCCAGGATAGACTCAAACCTGGGTCCCTGTGAGCCAACATCTGCTGGGCATGTGCACAGCTCTGACTAGAACTATTTTTTTAAAGGTCTAAAGCTGCATCTGAAATTGCATACTTCCCTACTATATAGTAGGCAAAAAAACTATATGTGAACAGAATAGTATGCCCAAATTCACAGTATTCATATAGGCAAAAACGTTCTGAAGTGTGCCTCTGATAGACAATTTACTATCCCACGAGGCCTTGGGAGAGGATTTGAGAATGCCAGTGAGGTGACACAACTGACGCTGATAGGTCACATGACAACATGATGAATACAGTATGTTCAGATTACATTCATGCTACACATGGGCACTAAGTAATTTCTTATTCAGAAGAAATACCTACTCAGAGAGTATGCGATTTAGGACACAGCCCAAGTGTCAGCGTTATTGCTTTCACTCATAACGGGGTTTCTCTGTGTAGAAAGTGGTAAGCGGAAAAACCTAAACTGGAGTCGAGTGAGTACTGAATGCTGTGAGAGGGGGAGGGGAAACCACTGACACTCTGCTCCATTATATATTCCATTCCAGACCAGCTTTCAGTCTGTATGTTGCTTGGTATTACTCAAAGCTTGATGCTTCTGCAATTTTCAGACTATTTTTGTTTGCTGTAGTCGAACAAATAAGAACCGACTAGTCACTGTCTGATATATATTGTATTTGGATATAATTTTATACATACATATATAATATATATATATATAATATTCTGTGTGAACAGCTGTTGTATATACTGCTGTATGAAGCAATATCACACTCACAATATCGGTTATTACATGTGATTTTGCACATGTAATTTTGATGACCACATTAAATTCATACACAACATTTAAAATGTCCATGACTATTCTATTAGTGTTAAAGACCATCCAGTAGTTGGATGGATGAACAACACACCATTAGATTAATTTACACAGTTTAAGGTTAAGTAATAGATTGGGTAACTACTTTAAGTTGTTGCAGATAGGTATGGTAATTATATCTAGATGTTTGACACACACACACACACGTTTTAAACACTTATTAAATTACAGACAGAAAATGCTTAAACAAAATGTGTTCTTTCTAATCCAGTTACATTATAATCTTAATGTTAATCCTAAAGGTTGATTTAACAGACATAAACCTGTATTGACTATGACAGTGTGGAGAGTTGGAGACTGCAGCGCTGATCATTGTGCCTCACACTTTCAAACTCGTCGGTTCACAACACTGAGGCGAGGAAACGAGCCAGCGCTATCAACACTGCTGCCCCGAGGGCTCTTCCCACTCAAGTCCCGAGAGCCACAGAGGAATCTTGGGAATACCACGGCAAAATGAAGAACACTGTTGATTCGAAAACATTTCCGAGGTTTTCCTTTTTATAGTTTGTGTCTCGATAAACTGGTTTACGGATCATACCTTCATTTCCAGATCACGACACCGATGAAAATAACATCAGTCGCCGCAAGTCGATCAGCAGCGTGTAGACAAAAACCGATTTCGCCTTTCAAATAATAAATGATAAACAAGTGACATCATGCAGGGACGACAGCAGTGCTTGACCTTTAGTTTTACAACGATGTATAGACCTAAATAAGAATTTCGGATTACTGATACAAAGCACGCCTGCACCCGCTTCAGTCCGGATTCGACCCGCAAGCTCCCGGTTCCGCAAAGAAACTCAACCCAAAAGTGTTGAAGAGCTCCATGCATTCAAAAAGGTGGGTTCTGAGTGATTTCTTGACAAATAACTTTTGTCAAATGACAAATGATTATTTTGAAAAATTCAGCAGTGGTTACTTTAACAGTGAAGACCTCCTCTTAAATGATATAGAGAACATTATATTGCATATCTTATGGTTTTGACTTAAACGTCTGCAACACATAAAGTAGTCGAGTTCTTTTTCTTCAGTGCTGATCTAAATGTAAGGATTGGGTTTAATATTAGGAATAATTTAATTTTTTGCATTAATTTGGATAGAAGAAAGGGAGAACGGGATTTTTAGATGTTATGCATAGCACTAATGAGCGTTATTTTGCTGCGTCTCTAAATTTTAATATTTTACCCTCTGTCGCACGAGAAATCATAGAGACTCTGCTAATGATCAATTAAACTCACTAATGGTTGAACATCTGTGTTGGCTCATTAAAGATAAGGTATCATAATGTTATGTTTTGACTTGATGTACCTCCAATTAATTTTCTCTAATCTCAAAATAAAATGAAGACATCACAGTTGAACTGTAAATAATATAGTGGTTCTTTCAAAGCCTTATATACTAGGATGCATCTCTGGAGATATCATTCATTCTCCACCACTGTGCAAGCGCCATCTGTTGGACTGCAACAGCTGACCACTAAAAACAAAACCATATAGCCTGCCCTATAACAACTTCACATTCCCTCCTCTTCTTTAGGACGTTTCCGTTACTGTGACCTGTCAAAATCTCAACAAGACTTTTATGATCAGACTGTTTATTACTTTAATTAATAGCTTTTATACTTTATAGATGGGCAAGCATCATTCATTCTTCATCTTATGTTCACACAAATAAAAAAGTAGTCCAAGTATGATTATGTATTATATAAATATTAAAAATGTTATAGTAGTTAATCTTAAGGTAACCTGTCAGGGGGACTTAATGAAGCAACTGCAATGACATGAGCTTGTTAGATCTCTTAACTGGTGACACATCACATATTGGCTAGATGATTTAAAAACCCTATGCCATTGACAATGTATGCTGATGCTTAGGGTGCATTTATGTTGACAGAGACAGTGATTATGCAAACATCATTGCAGTTTAGTTGTGGGTGGTTTAAATGAGTATGTAACACAGAGGTGTTCAATCCTGCTCCTGGGGCTACTGTCCTGCAGAGTTTAGCGCCATCCACAATTAAACACACCTGAACCAGAAATCAAGATCTTCAGGATTACTAGAATCTTCTAGGCATGTATGTTGGGATAAGCTAAACTCTGCAGGACGTTGGCCCTTCAGGACCAGGATTGGACCTGCTTTAACCCATTAGCCAGCTATATATGTCATATATATTACTTGGACAGTCTAATGAAACAGACTGTAGCATTTTAATCATATGTGTGTGTGTGTGTATGTATGTATGTGTGTGTGTGTGTGTGTGTGTTTGTGTGACAAATGAGGACATACATTTGTATAACGACAAAGGTATGACATAGGTATTACAAGGAGAAGGTGACTTTTCAGGACACTACCCCATGTCCCCACTTTTCAAAACGCTTATAAATCACACAGAATGGAGTGTATTGAAAATCTGAAATAGCACAAAGTTTCCTGTAAGGGGTAGGTTTAGGGATATATGTATATATATATATATATCCCCTATATACGTTTCAAAATAAAAAAGTTTATTGAAAGTATGTTTTATTCCGGATTACAATTATAACAAGTAGCAACAACATTAAAGTAACAATTTATTGTTAATATAAAAGTGATATAAAAGAATGAATTCATATGTATTTGCAAAATAATTGTTAGCCTAGGCTATATAATATGAATCTATTTCTTCAAAATGGGGCTATTTTTTCCACCGTATGTGACCACCATCATGTATTATGATTTATATTAGACAGACAGAGCAATCTTTTTTGGATACATTAATAATAGAGGCTTTAATTATTATGTAGGCCTATACTAAATCTTTTTGTGCACAGATGGGATTAAATGGGCAAATTGGCGAATTTGTGTAGAAGACACAAGTAAGCTATTTAATTACCAAGGTAATTTTAGTACTTGATAAATACATTTTCACTCTCATTTTGATTCTCTCAAAACTGAAAATGCATACAACCGCACAGGAAAGTTACACTTGAGCTATTTATTAAAAAGTAACAAGTAATGCGTTCACTTTCTTGAGCTCGCAGACATGGCAAACGGCTGAAGTTCTTTTCAAAGCTGCAGGCGTAATTTGAAACTAGTGAGGGGTTGGTGGCGAAACAGTGACTTCTTATTGGTGCACTTCTTAGTGTAGGCTGCACCCTTGACACTAGCGAACTGGAAGATCGATGGCACGTTTCTAGGGAGGGTTGGGAATGTGTGAACACGGAGAATACCTGACAAAAAGCAGCGATACTTGTACGACGGAAGGGCGTGCGGCATGATTCGTTATGTTGCGGTTCTTCAGCAACTTATAATCAAACGGAAAGTCACAGCATTGCTCTAATTCGCCTTTCCTCACATCGTTGGTGTAAATAGGGTGAGGAGAAGAGCGCTGTCCCGTGCTGGATGGATGGTTATGGGGAAAGGAGCAGGACCATCGGCGCTACAAGTCTGCCAGTTCGTTGTACTGTTTCTCTGGCTGTTTCCAACAGGTAAGAAAAACATTTATAATCTAATTCGAGATTTTGGACTGGAAATAAGTACACGTAGGCCTATATGTTTTTTGTTTGGAATTGAATTGTCGAAGCAATGATGTAGTAACCTAATCCTTACAAAACAGCAAACACTCAAGGCAATTAATCATGTTGAAATAACGCAGACAAACGCATGATTTGTTACTTAGCAGCAAATTAAACGCAGTTGGGTGTATTTTGTCTTGTCATGACCCAGTTATGGCTGGCAAAAGTTATTTATCTTCCAAAACATTGTCTGTGCATTCCTTCATTATGCACGCTTGAATAATGTTGTTTATAACTTTCAAGTTTACGCTACACATAATACATTTAAGTTGAAGGTGTTACATTTCGATCTAAACTTTTTCGCATTGAATAAGTTGCGCAAAAAACAAAAACAAATGTGTGCAGAGTTAAGAGTGATGATTTTAGTTGTTTTCGAGCCATTGTTTAAAACCTTGCGAGAAAAGCGTGGTGCTCCGAAGGTTCGGTTCGATTCTGCTGCACTACCGCAGTGTTTCCCACAGCTCTGGCGGAGACGTGCTATTGTGTTTGGGGGAAGGGAAGCGAACTTGTGGGGGCAAAATTTCCCAAAACCATTTCACAAACACAGTAAAGCGTTTTAGAACGTGTGCACTAGTGAAACAATGTTCTTAAATGGAACGAAAACTTTTTAAAATCTAAAAATGAAGTTGTAGGCTATTTTAAATAGATATAAGTGTATGGTTAAATTCACTCAAAAATTAGTCTGAATTAACAGTACTGTAAATACGGTAGTCTATGCATTGACTTCACAGTGAACAGTAGTAGAAAAAGACTTTAAAGTTAAAGGGGTCATATGATGAAATTTTAAGTTTTCCTTTCTCTTTGGAGTGTTACAAGCTGTTCGTGCATAGATAAGATCCCTAAAGTTGCAAAGACTAAAGTCTCAAACCCAAAGAGGTATTCTTTATAAAAGTTAAGACTTGTCCACTCCCTCCTAAAACGCCTGTTTAAACACGCCCCCACATGTCTACATCACTGTGTGGGAAGATTTGCATAACGCCGCCCAAATGTTCATGCAAAGAAAGAAGGCGTAAATTTTATTCTCTCTGTTGCCGTTGCTGCTTCTGACTCACAGCCTGTAAGTACGTTTTCATTAGGGATGTAACGATTAACCGCGAGCCGGTTGAAAATCGATTTAAATATGTGATGATTCAAATCGGTTGAGATGCTAAACAAATCGCGATTCAATTAGGGGTAGGAGTTTATATGAATGTATGTCTGAGGGGAACTTACTGTCTTTAGAAAAGTTTAGATGGTATTTTCTCTTTTCATCTTGCCTATAAAGCATATTAAAGTTCATAAGTGCAGCGCTGCTTTGTTTACAGCAGAAACCAAGGAAACGCTTTAAGCCCCACCTGCTGGCAGAGAGTGAATCTGCGTCTCATTCAGCTCATCTGCTGCTTCTGTTTCATGCAGATATTTTTATGTATAGTTTCACAAAACTGAAGTCAAACCATTCTGTTTTTGCTTCAAATTTCGAAATTATACAATCTAATTTAGATTAAAAACTACTCATGTTGCATGTCTGCAGCATCTTTGTTTGGATCATGATTAAAATGCAGTGGTTGCCTCT